GGCTGCAACAACAATACTACAGCGAGAATATAAGTTACGCCTTCTTTCTTTGCGTGAACGTTTGGGCGGCGTTATGCAAATCTTCCCAAATCGTGACGTAGACATGTGGGGACGTGTTAGTACGCACCGTTTTAGGTAGGCGTGGTTGACTCTTAACTTTTATAAAGAATATCTCTTTGGATTTGAGACTTTAGTCTTTGCAACTTTACAGATCTTCTTTATGCACCAAGAGCTTGTAACACTTCAAAGAGAAAGGAAAAATTTAAATCACATAATATGCCCTTTAAGCTTAATACCCCTTTAAGCTAAAATAAAACAGATTTTTTTTGTTTAAAAGTAGAGGCTCTGATCTTTATTTTGGTGCATCGCATATTCAAATGTTCATACAGCAAAATATACTGGAGGCCATCAAATTTTAGTGAAAATCATCAAAATCGCTGGCGGTGGCTGGCAACTTTTTTCAAAAATGCTGGCGGGGAAAGAGTTAACATTTCTAGATGATGTTTTTAAAGTGCACTTGCTGTTTTATTTTACCATTATTCATTTGTTTTTATTTTTTCTGCAAAAACACTTTCTTTCTGAACCCTGTTTATAGAGCACAAAGTTAAAGAAAGAAAGCTTTAATGACAGCAGGCATTCCAGCTGGCATGGACAAAACAGCATGATCCATGTCTTCTCAGCATGATTTGAGAATGTTCCAAGGAGCATCTTGTGTGATAAAAAATAAGCAAGTGCATATGTTTCAGCTCAGGTGGTTCAAAGGTCTGTCTAACAGAAAAAGGTATTGTATATTCACTGTTTCAGGTTTTGCCCAACCACTGCAATGGTTTAATGTACCATTAGTTTTCATTCGACTGGACCTCTGAGCTTCCAGGCGGAAATCATCCTAGAAGTCATTAGTAGGAAGCCTAATGACTTATAAATGTGTATTTGTGTAGAATGCATTATGTATTCTTTGATTCATCTTGTAATGGATGTACGCTGTAGTTCTCTAATGAGCTTGACCATTTGAGCAGGACTTCACTGTGCGCTGAGACTGTTCCACTTACTGAGAGTAGCTTCCATGTGATTGGGCGCACCTGCCGCGGAATTCCAGACCAGCTCAACTTCCGAAGCTCCTCTGAGGAAAGAAAATATATTTATTAGACTAAAAGTCTCAAATTAGCAGTATGGTTTTTTCTATCATGAATTGACTAAATTATTAATAATCAGTCGGATCAAGATTTTGCAGGACTTTTTTTTTATTTAAAAATGACTAACAATGAATAACGTGAACTATGAATTATTCACAATAAGACCATGGAAGTGTTAAAGAGGGGGTCAGTTTTGACTTCATGTTAACTAAAAAAAAAATGCAAACAGGTCTTGTTAACACCAGTCCGTTGCCTACATTCACCATGGTGCTCTGTAAACCATTCTTACGTAAACTGTCCCACTGAACTGAATGGCAATTTATGCAAGAATACTTAAACAAATGACTTCTGCTGAAAGTTGTTCTGCTCATTTTTCCTGAATGAGGCCCAGCTGTGCACATGCTTAGTTCAGCGAGCACCGACCAGTTATCATCTTGGAAATAAACACGGCTTAAACAGCTATTTTGCATTCAGTTCAGGTTTGTACAATAATACTTTTACCTTCCTTTTCTGATGAAATAAAATGAAGAAAGATGTTCGAAATCATGTCTGATTTGTCATTAGAATTAGAAGGATGCGTACAGAAAATGTACGTACAGTATACATACTACAAAAAAAGTATAAAAGTAGTATTTAATTCAAATATTCATTGATATGTTCGGAATAGCAAATACACTACAAATACAGTGACATCAAGGTGTCTCTGATAAACTGTTTTCAACATATAATGATTTGAGACGCACTAATCAGCATATTTAATAGCGCAGATAGCCTGCAAAACAGGATTCAGCCAATAACATCTGAATTCAATAGGCACACCACGCTTTCAATAAGCACTGCATTAGTGTGTATTTTTTGAACCCAAGAGAATAAATCTCAGTGAGGCAAATTGGACTTTTAAAATGGACAAAGAGTCCCTGCAGAGCCTTAAAAGAGTGAAAAAGCACTTTAATACCAAATATTTCTCATTTCGTATCTGTATTGCATATTTCAAGGGTTGATGGCAGCGATCATAATGTTGAATGTGGATTAGTCATTTCTCAGGGCCTTGACAAGAGGCTGCAGTGTAATGTGCATATATTTTATTTGACATCAAAGATAAATCTAAATTTTAAATCAGAGGTTGGTTTTAAAATTCATACAATAGATGAAATGTGCTATGAATACAAGAGCCTTCTGGGGAAAACATTTTTTTTTATTTTTCTGAAACTTAACCTTTCTGATATCAGAGCCTCATGTTTCTTGTGCAGTTTCTTTGTCAGGGCAAAATGAAGACTGAAGCGAATAAATAATTAATAGTGTTGTTGTGACTGCCATGCAAATACGAGGGACTGTGAAAACATGAGCATGGTCTACTTATTCACACATCATTCATTATTATTGATAGCAATATATTCGCAGAGACGCCTCGAAGGTTTATGCTATCAGTCATATTTCCACTCAGCTCCTAAAAAAAAAATTGACCTATTTTTATTATTATTTTTTTTTAATTACATCAGAGGGACCACCCAGAATTTTATCTAATCTGTGAAAGGGAATCATTCATAAAACATGATTGTGATACATTATGATTATAACATCTCAAAACATATTCATTATGTAGTAAATGAACCTAAGGTGTTATTTCTTTATTTAAATGTGTCATTCTTACATTACATATATTCTATAGTAATAACAGTAAATTATGCACAATTGGAAGCAACTAAGCCCATACCTACTGTAAGAATATATTGATATATATATCAAATCAGAAGAACTGATTTTGTTTAAATCTAAATGTAACAGTCCTACATTCCATTCACTTGTCCATTGCAGGGACAAGACCAGCATAAACATTCTTCAAAACTTCTCTTTTTGTGTTTCACAGAAGAAAAGAAGTCATACTGGCTTGGAAAAACACGAAGGCGAGTAAATGATGACAGAATAATCATTTTGGGGTGAATTATCCATGAATCTCATTTTGGGGGTCAGCCATGCAGCAATCTAGATCTTCATAAAGTCTTCATTAAGCTATATATCATTATAAAAAGACACCATTTTCATTCTAATGAATGCATTTCTGCAGATCTTCATGGCGCTTGTGCAATACCTGTGTGGCTAAAGTGTAAGTACAGAGGGCATGAGTGTGTGTTCTCTCCAGGCAGGTATGCTGGTGTAGTATATGAGGACGGTAGGCTGTCCTGACACATTGAAGGCTAGCTTTAATGCCGTGTGCTGTTTTACGCAGGAACTTTATAGGGAAAGAGCTCAATTCATTAAACACAGAGCCACTCAAGGGTGTCTCCTCGGCTCGCACCTTTGAACCCTCATTTGCGCTGTCAGCCGCAGAAATTAGTCGATGAATCTTGTGCCCTGGCACTTAATTAAACTATCTGTTATATTTCCTCCACGTGGCATTAATCTCACAACGGGGGGCAGAGGAAGAGAGAGGAGTTAGACGTTCACTATTTCATCAGCTCATTGTTGCTGTCTTTGTCCCTTTGGAGACGGTGACCTCAAAAGAGGTTGCGACCATCCGGACAGTTGCTCCTGAAAAGCTGCCAGCTATGTGAGTCTCACATAACCTGTATAAAACATGTCCAGGCAATATATAACACCTTAATCAAAAGAGGGGGGAAAAGACCATGGTTATATCTGTAGCTTAAACAATAAAATTAAATAATTTAATTCACATTTTCCAAATTCGTTTTACTATATTCCTAAAAAAAAAGTAAAAAACTGTATTGTATTGTATTGTATTGTATTGTATACACCGTTTCTGTATCATGGAATTTGTTGTAATACTTCTACATAAAAAAGGGTCTGAATAGAATGTTTCTTTGCTCTAACAGTAATAAATACAGTAAAAGCAAATTATAAAAGAAATAAAACAATTTTATTTTGTGATGAAATATGACCTTGATATGTTTTCATGAGAACTATATGTATCCCACATTTGTGCACAGGTGTGTGTTTCGTGTGTGTTTGTGGACAGTGCTATTCTTGCCAAACCACTCTAAGGCAGTCGTTTCATTTTCTTTATCTAATTTGTGTGAGGGCTGTTTATTTCTGTGCCAATACTGTTTCCACAACAGATTTTTCACGGAAAACAAGAAAGCCAAGGAAGCAATAGAGACATATTCTTAAAACACTAAATGATTAGTTTGTGATTCAGATTTCTTGACAGATGAGTTTCTTTCTGTTATTGCAGTTTTAGTTTCACTAACACAACTCATGAAGTTCATATTGTAATCACATTCAATAAGCATCTACACCAGTATTAAAGTCCTACATCTCATATATAAGATATTTGTTCTGAAAATTAGGTGGGTGAGAGAAAATAAGCAAACATATTTCATAAAAAAAAATATCTGTAAATTTAGTGTTTTAATAGAGTGCTGCATGTCATTTCCAAGAATACATGCCATTTCCATGAATCTGTTATCTCTTTAACACATGGCTGGCCATGATTTATCCAACCACCCTAACAAAAACTACAAATAAATAAGAAAATAAAGAAATGTTCACCATTAATAATAATAATAACAACAATAATAAGCACCCTCATGCTGTTCCAAACCAACATGACTTTTTATTTCATGGAAACGTAAAAGACGATACACCATATTGACAGAAGTATTGGGACACACCCTTCTAATGAACAGGTTTGACTACTTTAGTAATTTCCATGAGTACAAATCTTAATCTTAAAGGGGTCATCGGATGCCCATTTTCCACAAGTTGATATGATTCTTTAGGGTCTAAATGAAATAATCTAAGGAGTTGTGTGCTTCTTACTTTTATAGCAACAGTTTGGACAGGAACCTTTTCTATTCTAACATGACCATGCCTCTGTGTATAAGGCAAGGTTCAAAAAGAAATGATTGATTCAGTCAGTGTGGAAGAACTTGACTGGTCTGCAGAAAGCCAAGTCCTAATTCCAGCTGAACACCTCTGGTGTGACTTTAAATGCAAGACCTTGAATCAAAAACTCATCACCAAGCACAAATGACTTGTACATACACTATATGGACAAAAGTATTCACCCCCTTCTTTAGAACAGAAAAAGGCACTTCCAAAACTGTGGCAACAAATATGGAAACAATTCACTCTTGTCTACATCTGCTCTGGCGGTGAAACAATGGCTAGGGTGAGTCTAAGGTAAGACACCAGTCCAGTCTGTACTGAAACGCTACTGTCAATCAAACTATTGTGGGAGGGGCCTGTTTTTGTGACGTCACACAGACAGGCATCTGAGATCGGCTCGATTTGAGAAAGGGGGAAAGATTTTAGTAGATTAAAAAAAAAAACACTGGGTGGATTTTTATCATTATAGAGTGGTTGTGTACACACACTGCCAACACACATTTCAGTTCAAACAACTTGTAAAAGTGCATGTAGCATCCTATGACCCCTTTAAAGCATGATAATCTAAGGAGTTGTGTGCTTCTTACTTTTATAGCAACAGTTTGGACAGGAACCTTTTCTATTCTAACATGACCATGCCTCTGTGTATAAGGCAAGGTTCAAAAAGAAATGATTGATTCAGTCAGTGTGGAAGAACTTGACTGGTCTGCAGAAAGCCAAGTCCTAATTCCAGCTGAACACCTCTGGTGTGACTTTAAATGCAAGACCTTGAATCAAAAACTCATCACCAAGCACAAATGACTTGTACATACACTATATGGACAAAAGTATTCACCCCCTTCTTTAGAACAGAAAAAGGCACTTCCAAAACTGTGGCAACAAAGATGGAAACATAATTTTTGTATTTAACAATTGTATTTCCATCTCTGATGCAACAGTTTTAGGAGTTGACACAGTTCTCCAGTATGTGGAGAATGAATATTACATTACACCGCAGCCCATTATACATTCTTCATAAAGAACATCAAGTCTCCAGAACACACTATAGATTAGAATGCCTTTCCAAGCTTGTACACCTTTGTGTTGGCTCTGCGCATCAGTTGTCTAGTGCTCTATTGTGTGCTTCAAACACTGCCGCAGA